AGGAAGGACTGGTTATAACCATTTTCCTAACCACACCTGGGAGAAGGAGCAACATCAGGAAGATGGTGTCCAAGGCTCCATCCAGACAGTGGAAAAAATAATATTAAAGGTGGATGTTGACCAACAGCTGCTAATTTCTACTCATTTAGATCCTTCTTTCCAGCCAGGCGGTGGTGGTGCATGCCTTTAATCCCAGCACTAGGGAGGCAGAGGCAGGCAGATCTCTGTGAGTTTGAGGTCAGCCTGGGCTACAGAGTGAGTTCCAGGAAAGGCACAAAGTTACACAGAGAAACCCTGTCTCAAAATAAATAAATAAATAAATAAATAAATAAATAAATAAATAAATAAATAAATAAATAAATAAATAGAACCTCCTTTCCTAATCGCTTAGATCTGGAGGTAAGCTAATGGCAACCCTACTGCCTTCATCCCATTTCCCTGCAGGGACATCATCCCTCCACCTGGCGGCAGCCAGCTGTCCAAGTTCCCATTTAGAGGAGACCCAGGAGTACAATACTGGGGTGAGATGTGTGGGGAGAATGATCCCTGTCACATGCATGCACAGTGCATCCCCTACCTGGCTGGATATCTGCCCTGGTGGACAACAAGCATTCCCCAGAACATGTGAAGGACTCAGCCCTCAGCTTACCAATCCCTTCCTCCGTGGACATGGACACAAACTCACCTTGAAGTCAAGAAGGGTTGGAATTATTTCAATGCTGTAATCAACCCTCCCAGTGACGGCTACCTCTGTCCTCTCTTGTTGTAAACATCTGGTTGGTGTCATCATTATGGTTCATGTACACTTTATGGAATTCAATTTCTGATTCTATTTATGGTTTTTAATTTTCTAAGTCATTAACACTCATATGCGGACTCCCTTGGGTTAAAACATTTCCTAGAAAAAGAGTACATGTTTGCTGTAAGCAACCCTCTCTTGTCACTAGAGGAGTGAGCAGAGGGTAACACCCCCGTGTGGCATCCCAGAGATGAGGTCTTAGTGCTCTGTAAGATATGGGTTGTGGTTTGTTATCCCCAGACTTCAGAAGCCCATGTGAATGCTCTGGAAAACAGCTGGTGTTCTGGAGAACAGTCATTAAGTTCCCCCGACTTATCTGAAGGACATCTCAGTGTTCAGTAGTCATTTAACATAAATTGGGTGCTTCCAAGGTAACCTACAGAACAGATATTATCTCATCGAGGGCAAAATGTTGTTCCCCAAACTGAATGTGACTCATTTCCTAATCTTACACAATTTCATTCTGATCAAACCTAAGAGGGTGAATGAAAAAAAAAAATCAATAAGTGAATTGGGCCAGTAGTGTGACTTACCACAGAATGCTTGTTTAACATGCACTGTGCTCTCGCCTCTATCCACTGCACCCAAAAGGGAGAGAGTGGGGGAGAAGGAACAGAGGGAGGAAGAAATCTTACAAACGTGGTAGGACAGTATTAAGTTCTTCAGAAGATGAGCGATCTTGCACCTCCTGCTTGAGCTGGGCACCCATTCACGCTCCTTCAGTGATATAGCCAACAGCAAGATCTGGGCTGCAAAATGATGCTTAAGTCAGCCATGTTCTTGTGTGTGGTGCAGATGAAGGAGACCCCCCCGGCCAGTGGGGGCTTCCTCCTAGACCCTGGATTGGGCACAAACCACACCCACACACCTGTTTTCACAGAGAGATCCTTTGTTAAGCGGGGAAGAAAAGTTCAAGTGGCTGCTTTCTGACTCAGGCAGAAAAACAACAGCAAATGACCTTGCAGGTGTAATTTTGAAGAGGAGGAAAGGGGAGGTCTGTATCAGAATGGGCTAGAACACAGTGGTAAAGGAGATAGGGGGAGAGGGGGAGGGGGAGGGGGCAAGAGAAAGGGGGCAGGGGTATTTGTCCCAGAGGACAAAGGATTGCCTCTGGATAGAGAGGAGACAGTCGTGACCCATGGGCAAATGGTGGTTTATAAAGGTAAAGGGGGAAACCCCATGTTAGGATGAGGTGTTTAATTTTAATTGGGAATGTTAATTAGGGGAGCCAAAGGGGGCTTTGGGATACTGGATTTTGGTAGTCAGCCTCAGGAGGAATAAGTGGCCAAATAAGGGAATAGACCGTGGTGGCTAGCTTTAGGAATGTAATCTAAGAGTTTTTAGCAAGGGAGAGGGAATGGGGGAGAAAGGCAAGGCCTGCCAGAGCTACATGTTAGTCGACTAGTGTCCCTTCAGCAGATACAGAACCATAAGCCATAGGCACATACACATACACATATTTAAAAACAAAATAAAATCTTTATAATAAATCACAATTCTGTTTTATGAGTCACAGCTGCTAAATAAAAAGAAAATGGGTTTCTAAACTTGCAAGTCAGTGTGTTCTGCCTAATAAAGTAAAGGTCTCGCGTGGAAAAGAATCTGTAGCTGCAAAGGTGTTCTGGAAGTACGTGAAATACAAGATGAAATCAGCCCAGCCATCTGCCCAGGTGACCAAGAAGGGCAAATGACTAACCAAGTCCTTGTCACCACTTCCGAAATTCCAGGACTGCCAATATCGTCTATGAAAGCATGAGGCAATGTTAAAAAGATTGGCCTTTGTGACCATTAATACTTAACAGGATCCAGGTGGTGGCACACGTCTTTAATCCCAGCACTCGGGAGGCAGAGCCAGGCGGATCTCTGTGAGTTCGAGGCCAACCTGGTCTACAGAGCAAGATCCAGGAAAAGACGCAAAGCTACACAGAGAAACCCTGTCTCGAAAAACCAAAAAAAAAAAAAAAGAAAGAAAGAAAAATTTAACAGGATCTAGACTCATCCAGGAGACAAACCTGTGAGTGAGGATTGTGCAAAAATTTCCCAAGATTGAAACATTCCATCCTGCAAGGACGCTCCTTAAGCAGGAAAGTGAACAACTCAAATAGCTTCAGGAAGTCCCTGAAACTGACCAGATTCACTAACGTGAATTCCCTGCCAGAGTAAGCAATAAAAACTGAGAGTCCCCCTCGGATCGAAGGAAGCTGAGCTGCAAAGAAGAGTCTCAGACAAGACCAGCTGCCTGAAAGAAGCAGAAACCAGCCGAGATTCCTGGAAGAGGTTCAGACCAACTGAGGCACTTGGAAAGGATACCCCCCAATCTGCTGAGCTGCCTGCAGGCTGTGCAGTGTGCTCCAGGTTCCCAGCTTTATGAGCTGTCACCCATGCTGGGGTGGACATTGATGATAGAGCTGTCTTTCAGTCTTTTCTGCTTCTCTAAGTAACCCCTCACCCATACTTCCCTAAGTAACCCCAACAAAACTCCTTGGTTCACGAAGTTGGACTTTGATGGTGTCTGTACTTGGGTCTGTCATGGACTCTTGGCATGGTGCCGGGGGTGGGGGGTGTAGGTGAGGGTGTAGATATGTGTGTTGCATCGCCCCAGGGAAGGCTGAAGGGGCTCTAGCCAGCCTGAGCGTGGTAAACAATGGCTCTGGCTAACCTTGCCCTTCTCCCCCATTCCCTCTCCCTTTTTTGGCCACTTCCTCCTCCTGAGGTTGACTACCAAGGTCCAGCTATCGAAGTATTGAAGTCCAGCAATCAAAAGCCCCCTTTTGACCACCCCAATTAACATGCCCAATCAAAATTAAACACCTCATCCTAACACGGGGTTCCCCCTTTTACCTTTATAAACTGCCATTTGGCTATGGACCACGTCTGTCTCCTCTTTACCCAGAGGCTGTCCTTTGTCCCTTTGTGTGGTGGGTGGTTGTTTGTGCCATGCCCTGGGCACTGTGCCTAGTGAAGCAGCAGATATCTGCTAGCTACTTGCCCCTTGGGCAAATTTCCCAGGACTCTTCACTGAGGGTCCCTCTCTACATCTTTATCGGTGAATGGAGCTGCAGGAGAGCCATAGTCCATATGCCACAGAAGCACGAAAGCCCGAGAAACTTATTGAGCCAGGATAGGAACATGTCGGTAGGCAGGATGTTGGTACAGAAACCACAGCAAAGATGCCTTTTTCCTTTTTATTAGCCTAAAGCAAGAGAAAAAAGGTAACCCAAGTAACATGCTCAAAGGCTCCCAAGGGTTTCCAGAAATGTACCCTGAAGGCCCCGCCATCACCCTCAGGATGGTAATAACTGCCCAGACCACACCACATGCTAGAACCATCTGAGCATCACTCCACATGACCTTGACCCTGGACAGGTCAGAAGCCCTCTCTCGGTTCACTCTCCACTGCCCTCTACTCTTGGACTCACACAAGTTTCTCAGCCTTGTAGAAACATTAACTTCGCCTTTACCCATAAAATGTTCATCACGAAGTGCAAAAAATCAAAAAAGCCTAATGTGCGATCACCCATCTCGCCACGTGTGATATCACTCCGAACTGGCAACCACTCAGCACAGAATACAACATCCTAAGACTTCCGAAGGTCCCTCCCACCTCTCCAGCCCAGGGCACACTGTATCCCCTTATTCAGATGAGGTGGAGGCTGGGATGAGCTTGGGTTTGGCCTGCTGGGGAGGGGAGATATCTGGGATCTTCTCCCCGTGTTTGTACACGCTGACGGTGACGTCGATCTTCTCCCCTCCGTATTTGTTCTTCACGTTGATGCTGTACTTGCCCGAGTCCTCGGCCGTCACCCCCTGGATGGTCAGGCTGACGTACTTGGACTGCTCCACCTTCACGGAGAAGTGCTCGCTTAGCTCAATGTCCTTGTCGTTCTTAAACCAGACCACTTCCGGGTCAGGGTTTCCAAACACTGTGCAGGTGAGGTTCAAGGTCTTTGGAGGGAAGACGGGGTCAAGAAAGAAGACAGTTAGAAAAGGAGCGGGAGGCGGGGGTGGGGTGTGATCAAGATACGCTGCAAGTGTGTGTGGAATTTTCCAGTACTAAATTTAAAATGGAATAAAAAAAATCCCCGTGCTCCTCTCTGGAGGTGGCAGCTCAGTCATGCCTACTGGCACCTATGGATCACGTGTTACATCAGCCGCCCTTCATTGAAGCAGGCTCCAAAGGTATGTGCTATGGGGGGCGGGGCTCGAGAAGTAGAACCCTGTGAAAATGGTTCTACCTGTTCCAAGTTCTAACCTGAGCCTGGGCGTTCAACTTGGGAAATGGATTAGCTCTATTATCATTCCACTGAACCTGTTTTTAAGCTTTTTAGCTTTTATTCTTATGTACGTGCCTTCCTGCATGTCTATGTATGGAGAAGTACATGTAAGTGGTAGCTGGTTGTGGGGGGCAGAATAAGGTGTCAGATTCCCCCCGGAGCTGGAGGTATCAGAAGATGCGTGGCACCCAGTGTGGGTGCTGGGAGCTGGACCCCTACTTTCGCTCTAAGAGAAACACTTGCTCTTACTAAATGAAGCATCCTTTAGCCCCTAAACGTCCTTTACATTTAGACTTAGGGGTCTCTCTTCCCAGTTCCTCTGAAAAGTCCACAGAATATTCTGTCTGCATCTCCTAACTCAGACGCAGCAACTGCACACTCGCCTGGGCTCAACCCCCTTGCAGACTGTGATTGTTAATTTCACAATTACATCTTTTGTGATATCACAGTTACTCCATCTCAGGGGCATTCCATGCTTTCACTGACTGTTAAAAAGAGGTCTATAAATTTAGGCCTAATAAAGTCCTTTCGAGTACCTACGTCCCTATGACATTGAGCTAGAATTATGCCGCACAAGTGCCAATTAGATATCAATAACTCCACTGATGGGAGACAAATTAAAACTTCAATTAGAGATTCTAGAATGACCTTGGAAATTGGAGCAGGGTTTTTTTCTTTTCTTTTCTTTAATATTAAAGAGGTTGTGACTGTTTACATTCAAAAGTGGTGACTCAGTTTCACCCCGGATGGGAGCTGACCCACCACCTCATATAGAGAAGCCCTAAACCAGGTGATATCAGACGCTGTGGGCCCCAAGGTCCTTATACCAGGTCCGTGAGTCACACAACAGGCCTGGTGTTTGAGGATCTGCAATACTGGCTTTTGTTGTTGTTGCTGCTGCTGCTGCTGCTGCTGCTGCTGCTGCTGCTGCTGCTGCTGCTGTTAGTGTGACTTTTCTTTCTCTCAGTACGGAGGGTGAAGCCCAGTGACTCACATACACTAACCAAACTCTCTACCATGGAGGTGCACCCCAGGCTTGTCTATTCAACTATCCCATCTCTCTGTTTGCAGAAGTTCTCAGGGGTTCAGGTCAGAGGGGCGACAGCACAATGGAAGGTAGTGCCCTGCAGGCTGAGTGGGGAATGACTCCAGCTCTCAGGCTCCCCTGTGTCCCACTCTGAGATGGCAGCTGAGTTTCTACCCTCGTCCCAGCTCTGTTGCCAGCCGTCTGCTCTCACCTTGCCTTCCATTATGGTCACCACGTCAGGTAAGCCGCCAATCACCTTGCCACGATCTGCAGTGAAAAGAGAGCCAGGTTGAGGAGACCCTGTCAGGGAGGCCCCACAGGAAGCCTGAGGCTAACACCAAGTGATACCACCGTGGAAGCAGGGAAGGGAGGGCATGCCCTCAGGAGAGGACACAAAGAAAGCTATGTTCCGGGTGGAGAAAGCTACCACAGGGGCCATGGGCAAGGACTAGCTGGCTCTGTGCAGGTTGGCGGACATGCGGTCCCCAGGAAATAGAAATGAGAGTCAACTGAACCAGGGAGGTCACGTCAAGGACCGCACAAAGAGCCACATCTCACGAGGGAGGGAGTCTTGGCATCTGGGGTACAGAAACTTGTGGGGGGTGGGTGCAGACAAGGTGGAGAAGGGGGTCAGGCTGGAATGAGCAGAGGCCAAACGATTGAGGTGCACTCAACCTGGGGCAGAAAGGTTTGCTGTTACCGATCCCCTAAATCAACCACGTGAAATGTGCACCTCCCCCACCCGTCCCCACCCATGCCCATTATCACTTTTTATCACACCAGTACTCACTCTTCTCTGCAAATGCAGCTGCCCTAGAAATCACAGGAGGGAGAGAGAGAGAAAGCTGTAAGAAATGCTACTGACCAAAGGACTCCATGCACAGGAGAAGTCTACTTACTAGCAGTGTGAGCACATACAGAAGGAAGGTCTAATGGTATGCAGCTATCCGGTCATGCCCGCATTGGTCATCCCCAGAGCTGAACCCCAAGGAGATCAAAATCTATGGGCGTGCAAGTCCCTGAGATGAAACAGTGCTGTATTCACTACAACATCTACTCATCCTCCTGGTCCTTGTCAATCATCCCTAGTCACTTACTCCACCCAATGGAGTAAAACTATGTAAAGAGTTCCTAGACTGTTGTTACAGGGAATGATGACAGGAAAAAATGCCTGTATGGATGCACTGCCTTTACAGTGTCTTTTAATCGCGGTTGGATCTGAGGGTGCAGAACCTGTACCCAGGCAGAGAGCTGGTGTTCTGATCATTTGGAGTGGGGGAAGATGCTAAAACCAAAAGGGAGATTAGCATGCAGACTCTCAGGCTGGGAAGGTGTATTGTTTGGCACCAAATTCACCAGACTGCATTGGAGACTTTTAGGGGATTGTGTGTCTGCACTTGTGTGTGCTGGTTGGTATACATGTACAGGTGTGGATGTGTGTACACGTGGAGGCCAAAGGTTGATACCAAGTACCTTCCTCAGTTGCTTTCCACCATATTAACTTTTGAGATGTGATCCCCACCTCTCTATCTATCTATCTATCTATCTATCTATCTATCTATCTATCTATCTCTCATCTCTCTATCTCTCTATATCTATCTCTATCTTTCATCTACCTATCTATCTATCTGTCTATCATCCATCCATCTATCTATCTATCTATCTCTCATCTCTCTATCTCTCTATATCTATCTCTATCTTTCATCTACCTATCTATCTATCTATCTGTCTATCATCCATCTATCTATCTATCTATCTATCTATCTATCTATCTATCTATCTCAGACCCTGCAGCTTGCTAATTTGGCTAGACTGGCTGGCCAGGAATCCTAGAGATGCTCCTGACTCTGCCTCCCCAGTGCTCAGATTACAGGTGTGTCCTTCTGTACCCAGCTTTTTTTTTTTCAAACATGGATTCTAAGGACCCACTTGACTGACTAAGCCATCTCCTAGACCCTAGGCATTTTGTTAAATTGTCAATTTGTGATTTATCATACTTGTCACATATCCACTCAACAAAGGCATCCTGAATAATTTAGTAGGAGCCAACGATGTCCTCAGCTTTAATACTCTAAAACTGAACCACTCATTTGAAAATCTGAAGCATTCTTTTTTTTTTTTTTTTTTTTTTTTGTTTTGTTTTGTTTTTCGAGACAGGGTTTCTCTGTGTAGCTTTGCGCCTTTCCTGGGACTCCCTTGGTAGTCCAGGCTGGCCTCGAACTCACAGAGATCCACCTGGCTCTGCCTCCCGAGTGCTGGGATTAAAGGCGTGCGCCACCACCGCCCGGCCTGAAGCATTCTTTAACAGTTGCTCTTTATGGCATGTCACCTGGATCATGACGATTTGAGAAATCCATCATTTTAATCATTTAAAGTGATCCAAGGTTCTGATGGCCCTAGGAAGGTAATACACAGTGCATTTCTATTGTAGAAAAATGGGTGCCCTGCTGCATACTGAATTTCTTACATTGCTATTTTCATCCCAGGAACAGAGCATCCTTGGAATCACTAAGGCACTTATGGACCCTGTATGTGGCCGGAATGAACCCAAGTCAGAGCCCTGCCCCCCATCAGAAGTGATGTTAGCAAGCTATGGGTCTTACTTGAGCTGCTGGAACTCAGCAAACGCTTCATCAAAAGCTGCAAGGAAACATTCCATATGTCAGTCATGTTCCCATGTGTTTAACTTCCATCCACTCAGATGGTCCACCAGCTAACTGACAAAAAGCAAACTGAGGGGCAATCAAACTAATAAACTGATTTATCTTAAGTCAGTCCCTCTACATGAAAGTCATGACATCAGGGGATTATTTAATGCACCCTTTTCTTTTCAGTATCTACATGGGTTGTTCACAGGAATGCTACAGGGAACGTCTAGTACCTTGTCCAGAGAGGTCCAGTGAGCGTTGGTGGTTGTCTTTGCCATCGAAAATCTCAAAAGTGTACTTCCCCTTATCCTTCTCTGTGGGCTCGCAGATCTGCAGCCATGCCATCTCCTCACTGCCCCCAATCCTCATGTGTTCGCTGGATGAGATCTTAGCCTCTCTACAAAGCAACATGGGTGTGCTCAGTTAACCTCCAGATCTTATGCTCACACCTGTGAGGGGACATTAACATGTCTGAGTGAGGAGGGCCTGGTCTGCTGGCTTACATCAGTTGGGGATGGTCTACTGACTTGCTCACATTGAGGCAAGGAGGCTCTGCTCACTTGCTCATGCCAATGGCACAGTAGGTTTTAGGGATTTTTCTGGCTATTATAAACTTAAGTATATTAATAACTCGGGCCTGAAACCTCCTAAAGTCAAATGATTACAACTTAAAGGACTTCAGAATGCTTGATTTGGTATGCAGTCGTAAGAATATTAAGCGTGGAACTTATGACCTGACACAGCATTTCCATCTCTAGGTGCATGTTCAAAATAGCCAAAAGCAGGGACGGGGACAAATGGACACTTACATCTGGAGAAACATTACTCACAATGGCCAATGTGGACTACCACATGACCCTGACATGCAAATGCATAATTAAACTGTGGTCTATCCACAAGGTGGAATACTACTGATCTTTTTAAAAGAAGGGAACTGACACATGCTATAACATACATGAATTCTGAGGACATTATGCTACATTTACAAAGCTGGTCACAAGAGGACAAACCCATGTTTCTACAATCTGAGGTCACCAGAGTTGCCACACTCAAGAGCAGAGAGTAGAATCAAGCTAGTGTACAAGGGGGACAGCATTCCATTTTACAAGATGAAGATGCTCTGGAGATGGTTGCCCACAATGTGGATTCACTGCACCCTTACGGCAGATGAAATAATAAATTTTATGTTTGATGTATTCTGTCTCAACTTTTTGAAGATGTAAGTAAGACTAAAGCACCTAATACCATTGCTGTCCTCCAAGTCAGCCAAGTGTTACACCACACTCACTGTCAAATCAGACTGCTGGTGTACACACATGTTTACATTATAATATATATATATATATATATATATATATATATATATATATAAAATTTTCAAGTTACTGCAATTTAGAGGGCTGGTTTGGGTTTTGCAGAGAACTGGCCATGAACTAATAGTAATTCTATCACCTTTGCTGGCCACTATGTACTCTGCAGTTCAGAGAGAAAAAGGAATTGCCTGGCCCTCTTCACTGTGAAATAGTTCTGGCAGGTAATACTCATAATGTGGGGACACAGAGCATGTTAATCCAGGATTAAAAAAAAGTGACTGGTTCTATGAGAACAGAGCATCAGGAATGTGGGCAGATGGGGAGAGAGGAAGCCAGGATGGCTCCATGGAAGACCCACCCAGGCAGGGACAAGAGGATGTAATGATAAGGCACTATGCATGCCTAGTAGAGCATAGAACACTCCTGGGAGGAGGAAGCATAGGCCCTCAGTGCTCTTGGGAAGGCAAAAGCCAGAGGCCAGAGCTGTAGGGTAGGCTCACAGCTTTCCAGCCAGAATGCTTTGTTCATACTCTGCTGGGTAAATCCTAGTCAGTTGGCTCTTTACCTGAGGGTAACACACACCAATTCTAGACTTCCAGCAAGCACAGAACAAAATCTCTATTACTAAAGCAATGGGAAGGGTCACCCCAGCACTCACAACTGTCCATCCCTACCTAAAAGGAATAATGAGACTTTTATATAGAGAGACTTTCTGCTTCTGCAGAAAAGAAAAATCTTTCGCAAAAAAAAAAAAAAAATGTACTGTGCGATCGGTCTCCCTGCCAACCTCCATGAACTGACAACCCAAATGAGGGCTAGACGGCTAGACAATGCCTCACAGCTTCCTAGACCCACACAAGCACACATCAGGGAGTTACAGCCAGGGCTGCTGATGCCTCCAAAGACAGAGGAATTGGAGGCAGAGGGCCCCATGTGAGCATACACATTGATAAGCGCCCCCCTTGCGGTCCACCCCAAAACACCTCAGCCAGCCCTGTAGTGACCACATGCTGCCTGAAGGTTGTAGCTTACTCCCTGGTTGTCAGAGGGAGACAGCATTTCACCGCACCTAGGGTTTTGCAATCTGCTTCAAGGGCTGTGTGAGTCACTGGCCACGGTCCCTAAATATGCAGCAACTCCAGGAGCCTGTTCGGTCTTCCTCTGCCATGTGCCACCCACGTGGGCCTTAAATCTGGAGACGTCTTTTTCTGTCTCTAAAACTCAAATACACTGTAAGCCTAGAGAGCTCTGTCACAGGTCACCACAGCCGGTAGCCCTACCCAGAGTGGGAGAGAATCCACCGCATTGGAAGCCTTCACCTCAACACCACCCCCACCCTGTCTAAGGATACTGAAAGGTAAGGTGTAGGAAGCAGAAGGCATCTCATTCTTGCAGGTAATTGGAGCCCACTGAGATTAAGGGGAGTCGTTAGCCTAATGTGACCACTGCAGGAGAGACCTCCCAAGCTGAGGGAACACATACAGCCTGAGGTCAAAGCATGCTAGCTTTGTTTTTTCCTATAATGACAGCAAGAAGTCCCTTGAGTGGCTGGGATTCCTCTCAGTCTGAAGTGGTCAATCCTCAGGCAGTTGGGCTTTGCCATGCCTGCACAATACATTCATTTCACCCTCCGGCAAGACAACAAGGTCTTTTTTTCTGAAGAACATTTTTGCTGTGTTCCTTTTGGCCTGTTCCTCATTTGTGAGGGACAGATTTCCAGCCTTTTATTTAAAGTGGCATTTTCTAAATTCCTTGATGTATGACTTGGCATTTCTTTTAAAGCAATGAACAATGGTCCACACTTAAGTCTGCATTCTACAAATTTCTCACTGGGATTGATCTATGAATCGAATGTCACCCATTGGCACAGGTTTCTCCCCCACTGACTCCCTTGTCTTCTTACTCACGTCTAGTGAGAAAGCAACTGGTTGGCAGGTCGGAGCTTGGACTCTAAACACTGGTCCCCTTGTTCTTCTACCTAGAGAATGCATTTTAAGCACTGGTGTCGTTGGTAACCACCAGTGAGGACGCTGTTGACACCTTCTGATGTTTCCTTTTTTCTTTCTCCTTTGTCCAGACCCTCCCCCACTGTCCCATGGCCCACCTAGCCAAAGCCTGGCACAGTTACTGAGAACATGGCCATGGCCTGCGGTTTGTCAAGAGTACCACATTGAGCCACGGGCTGCTGCAGCCATGGACACGAGCTCTCATACTCACTTGTGATACCAGCTGACCTTCATTTCCTCTGTGAAATACTTCATGAAACACTGAAGTCTGATGCCCTCGGGGGTGCAGAGAACCTTCAGCGGTGAGGCAGAGGCTCCTGCAAATAACAAGATGTTACCTCAGATCTCAGAGAGTCAAGACAGGCCCGTGGCCCTATGGTAAGGCTCATCTATCCACAGTATCAGCACGTCTCTCAAGTTGGTGCTCATTCCTGTCATGGCCACAGAAGCTCCTCCGTCCCTCCCATGTCATATGCTTTCATTAAACACACACTTGTCCTTCCAGAGTACTTTGAAAAGTCCTTTGCTTAAGACCAAAGAAACACGAAGTTTTGCAAAAATAATCCACACCTGGCCCTTAGCAGTTTGGCTTGCATGAAAGAATCAATCTTGGTGACAATGACTATGAAACCTGCTCTATTAATTGACCCAAATCTAAAGAGCTACAGAAAACCCATAAGGAAGGAGGAGGGGGAGTCAGCAGAAATGGGAGTGGGAGGACACAGCTGGAACCCTCTTTACTGGAGACATCTGCACCTTACTCCTCTCCACCTGGAATGTCACAGAGATGCCAGGGTCTAGTCACATGGAGACTTCTATGCTTGCTCTCTATCCCCACCTAACTCCCCCAAAAAGATGCCTGTGTGCACCTTGAGTGATTGGGTGAGCCAAGAGTTCCAGAAGCATCGTGCAAGGCCAGTCTGACGCACTTACCAGTTCTCTACATGTGACCAGCCTGTCATCAGCAGGTGACCTTCCAGCACGTTCTGAGACAGGTAATGCAGAGCAACTCCCCAGAGTGTAAGAGCAAAGCCATTTTCCCAATGGCTTGGTTCATCTTACAAGCGGCTTGCATACCCATGGGTGAGTACTTGACTCACTGAAAGCCATTCCAAGTGAACCTCATTTTAAAATGTAGCCCGGTCCTTTCACTAAACAAAAACAAAAGCTCCACCTCACGGGGCTGTTTGCAAAAGCATTAGAGGTGAGCATACGGTGGTTTTTAATGGGAATCCCAGAAAACCATAGGCCTCTCTAATTGAGGTCAAGAGGATATGAGTTCTGGTGAGTCCCAACTTGCCTACGCAGATTTTGGTAACTTGACCAGAAAAGTAACCTGGGTATTCTCTGGCTGGTGTGTCTCATCTTGTGACAGTATGACACAGTGTTGTCATCTACAAGAGTCACACTGGAGAGCCTCACAAGGAGTCACAGGGAAGGAAATTCAAAAAAAAGTCTCATACCATCACAAGGAGGTGTATGGTTCTGTGTTGGTCCACATGGGTAGCAATCCTTGACTTTGTGCCATTACATGTGGCCAGTGGGTCACAGGTTAGGCATGCCTACGAATCTAGAGAGTCTAGAGTAATAAATTACTAGTTGTTAACATGTAAGCTACTATTTGTTATTTATAAGCAGTATTTTTTTTTTTTTGCTTCTCCAACTTCTATACAAAGGCAAATGACTCAATACACAGACTATGAAGTCTAAGCATTAAATAAATACCCACTATTACTACTCAGTGTTGGAAGAAAAACTAATAGCAATTTTGCCCAGGCCGGGCAAAGGCAAACTGGCAGGGATGACCAGTGGGTAACATCAGC